AACTTCATTGCCACAAGATGTGTCTCCACCATGACTGTTGAATTTAACTTTAATTTCTCCTATTAATAGGGCATACAGACCGTTGGTAACTATGAGACTGGTAAGCATCTCTAATCCCTTTATCAATAAAACAAATAAAGCGTAAAAGGGACAGAAAAGAAGGGCAGGTTGAATATTGCAAAGATTCATGAAAGAACCACATCAAGAAACTTTTATTTCACAGATAAAGAATAACCCGTCATAGCCCCGGAATGCAGATTGTAGAAGCTGTTCCCACTCCGACGCAGCTCACTGAACATAATCTTGCCACCCATTGATAGATACATTGATAGTGTATTTCCCCATTCAACCGAACCTTTGCATGGAAATACATAACTGGACGACCAATCTTCTTTAATGTGGTCCGGTTCTTCAATAACTAATAGCCATTAATAATCCCTCAAGAAAAATACATCACAAGAAACAACGGTTTGTTGGATTCAGGGCAAAATCAAATATACAAATGTGAAGCCACTGTTTAGAGATGGTCACATATTGCTTTGGTAAAGTCAGATGTTGATGAGCTACCACCAAGGTCTGCAGTTCGGTACTTGCCTTCTGCAATAGTATTCAGGATAGCATCCTGGATACGCTCTGCTTTATCATGAAGCTCCAGATGTCGAAGCATTGTAACAGCACTTAAAAGCAAAGCAGTAGGATTCGCCAAATTCTACAAGTGATGAACCAAGAAAAAATGAGTGTAAGCAGCTAAGATACAATAGACTAATGATGTTGATCAGAACCAGACAGATACCTTAGTTAATGATGAAAGAATTAGACATATCCTCTAATATGCAAAAGAGATGCTTAAATTAACAAACTAAACAACAAATACAGGCTTCAGAATCTTGAACACGATAGCAATTGCACTTTAAGTCAAATAAGAACAATGCTAATGAATAACATGAAACAAAGGGCCACAAAATTAGCCCATAAAACAGCAAGAGATGACATCATCTAGTGCAGCAGCTCCTTCCTTTCACATCCCATCCCCCCTTATAAATGATGAACTTTGAAATCCACTTTAAATTTCTGACTCATTGGTATCTCCGAGGGGATTTTCAAGCTTATATTACAACTCATGTCAAAGTGGAAGCAGGCTGAAATACAATCTTCTTATTGTGTCTCCACAAGGAGTTACTAAAACTTGCTAAAGAAGGCATTTTCTAAAAAAGTTCTAAACATTAAGTGCTAACATAAACTGGATTGTAGATACAAGCATGCAAGTACAATAACCAAATCATCCTCAATGCCTTTCAAAGGACAAAATCATGAAGAGGAGGGGAAAAGAACGGTGCACTGGTTACCAGTCCAATCCAGGATCAACTAAGAGGTTCTCTCTTTGGAGGCAGAACAACATGTTTGGTTGAAAGTTGTTAGAAAAGAAAATAGAAAAGAAAGAATTCACAGTTGGATCAGAACCTTTTCAAGTTTGCCATGTCGTTGATCAATTGATCTCAAACAAGCAAAAAATCAAGCACATTTTTTCATGATAGTTGTGGTGAATGGTGCTACCACAAGGTCCCTGTAAAATACTCCTTTTTAGCAATATGGAAATGCCAAAGTAGGAGATCCAACATAAGGCGCTCTCAATGCCCAAAAGGGCTCAAGACATACCACAGCATATAGGACAAGTTGTTTCTTTTGAGCTACAATAGATCAATCTTACATCAAATTAAGCACCAACAATCTAGGCAAATTTGGAGAGCAAAAAGGAAAAAGATTAAATAGCAACAAAAAAACAGAAACAAGCAGCAATATCGAATTTAATCATTAAGCAGAAATAATGTGGAGAAAATTTAAATGAGAACCTTTCCAGCTATATCTGGTGCTGAACCATGAACAGCCTCAGCAAGAGCAATACCTCCCTCACCGATATTACAGCTGCATAGGAAATCAAATCAAATAGTATCCTTGTGTAAAATTCTTGTGAAAGTGACAGTACAATACTAAGAAAATCTTATCATGCCAGATTTGTGAACTCACAAATAAAAGATGTACCTTGGTGTTAGGCCCAAGCCTCCAATCAAACCAGCACAAAGGTCACTGATTATGTCTCCATAAAGATTGGGCATCACCAAGACATCAAACAGTGCTGGATTCTTCACCAGCTGAGCAAGAAAGAAATGGTTGGTTAGTGCAGTTCTAGCACTCTCCAATACGTGATGATTAAAAAAAGAAAAAGCATCGCAGCATGTTAAGATCATATGAATCTTCTTTACACAACCATCTGATTGCAAAAGGAGACAATCTAGATTGACAGTAAACGCAATTCATACCATCATACAGCAATTGTCAATGACAACTTCCTCATATGTAATCTCGGGGTACTTCTCTGCAACCTCACGACAACACTGGAAGGCAGAGAGAAAACATCAGCAAAAGGGTGCATTAGTAAGTGAACGTGAACTGTAACAAGAATCGAACATAAAACTTGCTTAAGGACCTTAAGGAAGAGGCCATCAGTTTTCTGCATGATATTCGCTTTGTGGATGGCAGATACTCTCTGCCTTCCATGGGTCTTGGCATAGAGGAAAGCATACTCAGCTACCCTCAAACTCGCTTGACGTGTGATAATCTTGAGGCTTTCAACAACACCCCTCACCACCTAACGCCCACCAGATGCAAAGGACTCATTCACATCAACGGTCACAAATATTATGTAAACTAATTTTTCATAGCCACGCAAAGAGAGTGGTGAAAAAACTCACTTGATGCTCCAGACCACTGTACTCGCCTTCCGTGTTTTCCCGGATGGTAACGAGGTCAACATCATCATATCGAGTCTTGTAGCCAGGCAGACTGTAACAAGGTCTAACATTGGCATACAAATTCAGCTCTTTCCTCAAGGTAAGGTTGAGGGAACGGTGGCCTTTTCCAATAGGAGTAGCCATTGGACCTTTTAAACCCACCTTATTACGACGCACAGATTCCAGACTTTCCCATGTCAGGAAACTCTGAGTTCTAGGGTCTATATCCAGCCCCACATAATGTTCTTCCCATTCAATTGGTACGTCAGCAGCTCTAAATACCTACATAAACACCGTTTTCAACATTACAACAAACTAAACCAAGAAACTCCAGTCAGACTCTATTCATATCGAGACCATTCTATTCAATAAAGGAAAGAAACAGAAAGTTCAATAACGGCAGAAAAATATTAGAAATGATACTTTATCCAGAAAATCCTATTATGCAAAAAATTAATTTGAAAAAAAAAAACACACAACACACGTTCGACTTGCAGGGTAAGTTCAACATGGCGCAAATACGGGTACGAATAAGAAAATATAATCATACAGGGGAATAAACGCAGAAAGACAGATTGAGGTGGGGAAGGAAGACTACCTCTTTCACGGACTCGGCAATCTCGGGGCCGATGCCATCGCCGGGGAAGAGAGTGGCGCGAATGAGATTGGACTCCGAGGCAGAGTCGGCGGAGATATTGCGATGGAAAACCCTAGAGAAGCTGCCGGATTTAGGGAAGATAGGATTATGGCGGGTGGTGCTTCGAAGGAGCCGTCCGACGATCTGGGAAGCCATTCTTCTTTGCCAATTTCCGGTGCTGGTCCTCTCTCTCCTTTTCTGATCGTCTCTTAAATTTTTTTGTTACGTGGAATTTTGTAAAAGAAAAAGGAAAAGACGAAAATGGTGGAATTGAATGTGCCATTGGACCGAGCCAACTGGTTTATGTAAGTCAACCAAACGTTGCCAAATAATCCTATGAAGTTGTTTTTTTTTTTTTTTGTGGTAATAGCAACAGTCTATAATACTCATATACTAACCTATGACTCTGTTTGAATTCCTTGTTTTTTAGGTTTTTTTCAAAATCTAATTTTTCAAATACAATAAAATTATTTTAAAAGTACTCTAAAAGATAATCTAAAAATTAGTTTAAATTTTAAAAAATATCTCAAAATATAATCTAGAAACTTTTCTACTCGTAAATATCCCAAAATATTTTTTAAAAATATTTTAAAATATATTCTAAAAAATCTGCTACAACAAAATTTTTCAAAAACATTTCCAAAAACAGTTAATCCAATATGTGGAAAAGAGGCTTGCTTAAGGATTGTGAGCGAAACACCAAACAAAACAAAACAAATGTATTGCTATACTAACTTTCAAAAAGCAAAGAGGGTTGTATGGACTTGAGGTTTGAATCATCAAACCAAATAAGTGCACTATATTATATTTCATTGTGATGTGATCGACAGGATTTGAATCCCAATTTAGTGCACGGAAGAGTTTTAAAGAGTCTTTTCGTGGTAACTTAGATCCTTTAAAAAATACGCGAATAAAGTTGGTTCCATTACAAAAGTAGAAATGTTTAGCTACAAAAAACTATTCTAGCTCTACTAGTTTACTCTAATTTTATTTCTGTATTCTTATATTTTAAGTATTTCCACCTAATACTTGTGCTCGTTGGAAATTGCATTCTCTAAAGGCTCTTCTTCATAACTATGAAGTGGATCATCTGTTAAAAATTCTCCTATCATGGCCGAAAGATGAGGTGGTTTGGCTTTATATATAGAGTGGAAATTTTGAGGTGACATCAGTAGACTACTTGGCAAGGAGGGTGGAAAAGCTGGAAGGGGGGAGGGGAAGAATCTTATTCAAACAGTAAAGCGAAGAACTTTTGGAATGAGTTATGGCAAATTGGCAATTAAATATTCAAAAAAATTGCATAAATCGTGACTCACATATTAGTGATGTGAAAATTTAGTCCCTGAAAATGAAAACGAGTATTTTTAGTCTATTACAAATAAAAAATGATCAATTTCAGTCCCTGCTAACTTTTTCGTTCAAACTCTTGACGAACCCGGTCACGAGAACATCAAGTGACCAACTTTTGAAGGGTAAAAATGACAAGTCACTCATATCTTGACCAAAATGTAAAGAACCAAGTGCTCAACGTCATCCATACTTCCCTTATATGGATCAGGTTCACAACCATTAATGGAGTATTGCTTAAGGTGCATAACGAATACATCAACCATCCCATATTATTTTGGTTAAGATCAGTTTTCACAACCATCCCATCTCTTTATTTTCAACCTCACTAGCCTCATTGTACTTGACTTCTCGTCCAACTTGTTCTATGGAGAAATCTCATCCCGAATTGCTTCGCTTCAGAGGCTCAAAGTCTTAGACTTTGGCGATAATCAGTTGTTCAGCGAGTAACCAAGCCAACTGGGTGAGTTGACTCGTCTTGAAATCCATACCCTTGGTCCCAACCTCTTCACTGGTGTCAATCCGCCGGAGCTCGGAAACTTGGCCAAGTTCAGTTCTCTGAACCTCTCCGGCAATGCACTCACAGGGAATATCCCAACCCAGATTGCCAATCTATCCCACCTGCAAGTATTAGCAATTGGCAACAACCTTCTCTCAGGTTCTTTTTCACCAACTCTCTTTTCAAATCTTCAGTCTTTAACATCTTTAGACGTTTCAAATTACTCTCTCTGGCCACATTCCCCTGGAAGTTAGCAGACTAACAAACCTCACGGACCTTTACCTCGGCATCAACTATTTTTCCGGTGAGTTACCGCCAGAAATCGGTGAACTTTCCAACCTTCAAATTTTTTTTTCACCCTCTTGTTCTTTCAGCGGGCCATTGCCCGCAACGTTCTCCAAGCTCAGGTTCTTGAGTAAGCTTGATCTTTTCTACAACCCTTTAAAGTCTTCAATCCCAAAATCGATAGGGAAGCTTCTAAATTTGACTATAATAAATTTAGTCTACACTGAGTTGAATGGTTTAATACCGCCTGAACTTGGAAGCTGCAGAAATTTGAAAACTGAGAAAGCACATGGTCCTTTACATTTTGGTTAATATCAGAGTGACTTGCCCTTTTTACCCTTCAAAAGTTGGTCACGTGATGTTTTCGTGACTGGATCGGTCAAGAGTTTGAACGGAAAAATTAGCAGGGACTAAAATTAATCATTTTTTTATTTGTAATGGACTAAAAATACTCGTTTTCGTTCTCAGGGACTAAATTTTCACATCGCTAATATGTGAGGGACGATTTGTGCAATTTTCCCTAAATATTCCCTCAAAAATAAGAATTTTTGTATGGAGGGTGTGGACACCTCGGCCTACCCGATCTTGATCAACTCCGTTCATTCTCTTTTCATCGGGGACATCTCGTTTGGGGTATTCTCCGACGAGGTGATTTAGGAGATCACCCTGGAGATATGTTTCACCTTGTTTACTCCTTTGCCAAAAATAACTGACATCTTGGTTGTTTGGATGATTTGTGATTAATAGAGTGATGTGACTACCAGCCACCTTACTAATCAGATTTACATCAGACATCGCCACCTTAGATCGCCTTATGATGGCTGACAGTGGGTAGATCTCATCATTCCATCCATAGCGCATCAACTATAAATACTTATTTATCACTTCCAAATGAGGTGCACAATCTAACCCACATATTCAACTCCCGAACTGTCTCTGACTTTAGCATCGGAGTGAGACAGGAGAACAAAGCCCCTGGCCAGTTGAAATATTGCAGGTGATCTCATCTTTTGGTGACCTTGGCTCATTCATTGAGAATTCACCTCTGCAGAGAGCATGTTCTGGAATACTACCTACTGGACAAAATCTTCAAGCTAGATTGGGAAGAGCAGTGAGAAGATGCAATCAGTGTGAATGACTGATAAAACACATTTCTTGGATTGCGAATTTAGCCAGGGAGTAAGGAAGGGTGTAGAAGGTAAGCAGATTGCAAACATCTCATCTGTGTCCAGCTTCAAGTAGTCGTTCGCCTGCATACTCTACTCAAACGGGGAAGCAGTTAGCAGAATTAGCAGCAGAAATCACATGGCTTATCTGGAAATGCAGAATTGGGAGGACTTTTGAAGAAAAAGCCGAGGAACCAGCAACACAAATTAGTGCATAAGCAGAGGCACTTCTCTAGGAGTATTGGAATCTACGTGGCAGAGAGAGGGTCAGGAAGATTGAAGGCCATAGCAGATGGTTAGCACCTTGGGCTGTAGGTGAGGGTTCAAACCTCATTTGCAGTGAAAAAAATTTAAGGGTTGTGTCATAGCACTCCCTTGGTCTAGTTGGGTCTGTATACCCACTAACTCCCTACCATAGCCTCCTTAGGCTCCCCCTTCCCCCTAGATTAGAATAGAGTAGATTATACAAATGTATCGTTGCTGACAAAAAAAAAAGGAGAGCATTTACAAGATCAATATGGATGGTACATTTTTCGAAGCTGGAATTGGAATATGTTTCGTAGTAAGGAACCAATGGTTGAGAAGATTCCCCGAGCTCTCAATCCTGGGTTGGTGGAATGCTTTAACCTTCCTAAAAGCGTTGCAGTTTGCTAAGAATTTTGGTGTCTCTCATTCATTTTGGAATTTGAGTATGTAAAGGTGTCCCATATAAAGTGCAATAATAACGCCCCTGCTCATCTCATGTCTTAAGTTAATCTTTATCCATTGAGGGGAGTTATATTTGGTTTGTAAATTTTCCGAAGGAAGTCCTGTACGCTGCTGTAGCCGACTTAAAGCAATGAAAGCTCTTTTTCTCCTCAAAAGGAAAAAAAAATTCTAAGCAAACAAATAACAATTGACTGAGTTTTAAAACTAGTTTTAAAGATGCAACATTATCTGATGCTACTAGAATCTTTTTTTTTTTTGGGGGGGTCAACTTTTGGTTAACAATTTGTACAGAATCCTTTATTTTTTGGTCAGTAGTTGGTTTGCAATTTCCAGAGATTGGAGCCATAAATAATATGAAAAATGCCGCGTTTAAAGCCTCTCGTTTCGGGTGCCTTTCCAAAGACCAAATGACGGTTCAGTGGTTCCTCCTCGGTGGTTTTTAGGTTTTCAGAATTATGTACCGGCAAGCTAATAAAGTGGGGATCAAAATAGTTTCCACGTGATCACGCCTTTGAACCAAGATGAGGAGGGGTGTGGGTCTAAGCTTTCAATTTTGCATCTTCAAACGCTTCAACAAGAAAGCTGCAAGCTATTTTACATCCTCGAGTAATAGCAGCCTGTGAGCCTGTCTTGTAATCAGTCTGAAAAAGGTCTGCATGCCTGATTTTGCAATTTCTTAGCTAGTAACCATCTTTAATATAGTTTTAACTGTATTAAGCATGGTTCTAAAGCTACTAAATCAGTAGTCTGGCCACCTTCGTTCACAACGCTCTCAGAAAATGGAAGTAATGTAGGATTGCCTTCATCGGCAATAATCTAGCCGAAAATCAAACAACTCATTAAATGGAAAACAGGGACGATGTTGAAGTTTTTGTTCACATTTTAAGAAACCTTGAGCAATACATGGGTGTTACAGACATATCATTGAATTTGACATACAGATAAATTACATTGAAGGTTTTGACAAACAAATGTTTGAATGGATGAAAGTAAATCAACAGATTGGGAGAGGAGCACCATTCCATTCTTGGAGACATTCCAACAAAGGATCTACAATCTGCCCCTTGCTCATTGCTGTGAACACCTGGTCGAACACCTCACCAGGTGACTGAGCTTTCTCTCCAGACAGCAGTCCTGTCCCCAGCACTTCTCGAACGAACTTGTACAATGGGTAAGATCTGCACTCCCTTATCCGATTAGGGATTGCTGGATTTCCACTCTCCACAGCGCTTCTGGCACTCTCCACTTCTTTTGGTAGGACAGCCTTCAGTTCATCTTCAAATGCTGCAATCTTTTGGAAGATGGAGGTGTTGACGTTCTTCTCCTGATCACCATTCTTCAACGCATGATCCACGAGCACTTGCCTTAACTTTTGCATTAATGGATAGGTAGCGCTGCAAGGGTCGTCCACATAGGCAAAGGCGTATTCGCGGTCCACCACTCTGAGCAAATCCTTGTCACAAAACCGTGAAGGATGCAGTTCTCCATTAGCGCCAATTGTCAGAGTTCGCTTTGCCACTTGGCTGACAATATTCTTAACAGCATTTTTCAAGTTTTCTTCCAAAAACCTCAAATCGATTGCTTGACAAAGAGCCACCAAATAAGTGGATGACATGAGCTTCAAGATATCAATGGCTTCTGCAGTTTTTCTTGAAGAGATTAATCCCAAGGAGTTGACGTCTTGGTTGTGTTGCTCGGCACTCTGGACATGGTTGGTCACTGGATTGCCCAAATACTGGAGTTCAGAACAGTATGCAGCCATAGCAATCTCAGCTCCCTTGAATCCATAGTCCAAACTTGGATTCCTTCCTCCAGAGAGATTGGACGGCAACCCATTGTTGTAGTAATCATTAACAAGCTCGGAAAATTGAGCAAACATCAGTTTGCCGATAGATGCAATGGCCAGTCGAGCGTTGTCCATGCTCACTCCAATGGGGGTGCCCTGGAAGTTGCCGCCATGTAAGGCCTTGTTCCTGGACACATCAATGAGAGGGTTATCATTAACTGAATTGATCTCCCTCTCAATCATTTTTGTTGCTGCGCGAATAACTTCGATTTGTGGACCCAGCCACTGCGGAGATGTCCTGAGAGCGTATCGGGCCAGCTTTGGCTTTTGCAGGGGATCCAACTCATGCAACTTTTGAGCAGCCTTGACGTAAGAGCTTCCATCCAAGATATGTTCCATGATAGCCGCGGCCTCAATTTGGCCGGGATGGTGCTTCAACTTATGCGTCAAATGATCGGTGAACTCGGGCTTGCCATTCATCACTTCAGCAAAGATTGCTGACAGCACTACAGATAAGACAGCAAGCACGTTAGCTTCAAATAGAACAATAGAGGCCAAGCCAGAACCAACTGCTGTTCCGTTAACAAGAGCAAGGCCTTCTTTAGGCTGCAGCTCGAAAAAGCCACCGCTGAGGCCAGCAAGGCGAAATGCTTCTTCGGCGTTTAGAGCTTCTCCGTTGGGTCCAACGGCCTTGGAGTTGGGGCGGCCGGTTAGTAAACCGGCAATGTAGGACAAGGGGACAAGATCACCAGAGGCAGTGATTGTACCGCGAAGAGGCAAGCATGGGGTGATGTTGTGGTTAAGGAAAGTGGTGATGGCTTCCAAGATTTCGAATCTGATCCCGGAATAACCTTGAAGAAGGGTGTTGATTCTTACAAGCATCGCTGCCCTTGTTGCTGAGTGTGGCAAGTTTCCGTGCAGTTTCCGAAGATTCCCGCGTTCAGAAATCTGTCAATTTACACAATAATCCATGCATGTCAGGATCATTCTCCTTTCTATTCCCCTGCACCCGACTCTACAGATTCGTTCGTTTTTTAATTTCCATTTGTTTCGGATGGATCAACGGGCAACCATAGACTGTAGTAAATAAGACAAATAGGGACAAGTGAAAAGGTAAAATATTGTAGTAGCCTTTGTTAATTTCATCAATTTTGCTTTTGAATTTTTTTTTTTGTGGGCTTCCAATATGCCTCCTAATACATACATAATCTTCCACTTCTCCGCTTTTTCTTTATCTTTTTTTTTTCTTCTTCCAAAGACAGAAATGTCTGTGGAGCCAAAAATCAAAATATCAAGATTAGATAATGACAATTCCTCATAGTGATATGGGTGCTCATCTGTAGTATATGTTCTTCTTATTGAGTGCACGCATGCACTGGCGGTAGGTTGGCAACGAATTTTGCTTTTCAGAAGTATCTGCATAATTTTTTACCAACAAGGTCAAATGAATTGGAGCAGGCGAAAATACGCATGCAGGAGAATTGTTTTTTCCCTTGTTCTGCTTTAATTATCTTGATTTATTGGTTTGTGAAAGGCTAAAATAATAATTTCTTAATTTTTCCGGTTATATTATTAGAAGATAATTAAGCGTCTTTTTTCTAACTTCAAACTTATTTAATGATGAAAACTTCTAACGAGAATAAATAAATCTGTCGAAATGAGTTCGGAACAGAAAAAATCCTTTTTTTAAAAAAAAAAAATCATTCACAAAATTCTAGTTTAAACCTTGCTTTGGCTATCTCAGTTAGGATTGTTTGTTTTGGAGTATTTTTAGAAAAAAATTATTGTGACAACATTTATTAGAAAGGAAATAGTGCAAATGAAATATAAAGGTGGTTGAGAGTCTTCTTTTTTATTTATTTTTTTGTTTAGGGGGAAATAGTGGAGTTTTTCAGTAACAATTCAAACAGGTAGTTTATCATCCAGGTTAAATGCAAAAGCCCAATCCCAGCACAGTAAAATTGTGGCCACCATTAACGCCAAAAAAAAAAAAAAAAAAAAAAAAAGAATGACGATGCTGGGATCGACCCATACTATCATCACGAAGAACTAAACTTAAGGAAGAAAAACAGCCAGTGCAGCAATCTTGAAAGTGGTAAAACTTCAGAGGCAAAATTTAAGGGTGAAGCTAAAGCTAATTTATGGTAAAAATTCAGAGGCAAAATTTACCTAGTAAGCTCCTTCTGAAGGGCACCGCCTTGATTGGTCCGCCTGTGTGAAGTGGCACCAAACCCAGTGGTAACTCCGTAACTATCAGTGCCTTTGTTCATACTCTCCATCACCCAGTCGCTGCTTGCCTTCACCCCAGCCCTTGCGTCCTCCGCCAGCTCCACCTTCACACCCTGATCACCTTTGGCGGCAATCGCGGCCACCTGAGCAACGGTCAAGCTCTCACCGCCGAGCTTTACCACCGGCTTCCTAAACTCAGCTACCATGCCCTTCACTTCGTCCAAATGACTTCCCATCAGTGACTCAGCTGCCACTCCCCAGTTCAGAGGATCTGGTTTCAAGCAAAACTCCGAGACTTTCACGCCTTCGTCATGACCATGTTCCATCTTGCAGCTTTCTGTGTTCAGGATTGATGCCACCCAAACAGAAAAATGGCTAGATAGGTCACCACGAAACTAATCGCTAGTTATTCAAGGAAGAGCATCGACTTAATTCATGTAAAGCAAGTGATAAAAGGAACTGAAGCAGTAGCAGTGGTGACTACTAACTAGTAATGGTATATGAGGAGGGTATTTCCAGGTCGGCAGAGCTGGGGTCCCGCCCTATGTCTCTTAGGCTCCGACCACCTCGGCCGTTCGCCATCGCGTTAGGACTTCGGCTTAATTACAGCCTCGGCTAAGGTTTTCCTTTACTTAGCCGAAGTCAATTATGGTGACCAGACAACCGGAGTTGTGAAACATGACCTCTGACACCTCTGATACCTCTGACATTTCTGGCAAAGCTGCTCTGACACGCGCCGACTGACACAGCTGTCCCGGCGCACCTTTCTGCAGAGTCCATTGAGTCACTTTGATACGCTGACTCTGCCAGATCTCTAGGGACCTGTGCAAGCAGTCCCTCTCCCCTGTCCATCCTCTATAAATACTCAAGACTTCTACTGAGAGGGGGACGGCCAAATTTCTGGTAACATTAGCCATATTGCTCTCCAGCATATTGCTCTTTAAAATACCGAACTAACTTAAGCTTCGGAGTTACACCGGGGACTTTAGTCCCTCTTACAATTTGAGCAGGTGA